ACTGCCTACTGAACAATGCTGTGAACCTCCACCCATAGTTTTTTAGACACTTTGTCTATCAGATCTACTCCTTTGAAACTATTTGTTCATTCCACTGTATAATCATAAGGAATTTTATTTAGGTCATACCTGAACGGCATAGTGGTTTTCCCTACTTTCTTCCATTTAAGTGTGAATTTTGCAATAAGGAGCTCATAATCTGAGCCACATTCAGTTCTAGGTCTGGTTTTTGCTGCCCGTATAGAGCTTTTCCATCTTTGGTTGCAAAGAATATAATCAGTCTGATTTGGTACTGACTTCTGGTGATGTCCATGTATAGAATTGTCTCTTGTGTTGTTGTAAGAGGATGTTAGCTATTACCAGTGTGTTCTCTTGGCAAAATTCTGTTATCATCTTCCTTGCTTCATCTTATACTCCAAGGCCAAACTTGTCTCATTCCAGGTATCTCTTGGCTTCCTACTTTTGCATTCCAGTCTCCTGTAATGAAAAGGACATCTTTTTGGGGTGTTAGTTCTAGAAGGTTTTGTCAGTCTTCATAGAACCGTTCAGCTTCTTCAGCATTTGTGGTTGTGGCATAGACTTGGTTTACTGTGATGTTAAATGGTTTGCCTTGGAAATGAACAGAGATCATTCTGTCATTTTTGAGATTGTGCTCAAGTACTGAGTTTTGGACTCTTGTTGACTATGAGAGCCTCTCCCATTAGGAAGCTTGCGCAAGCCTCTTATCCTCATCCATCAGAGGACAGAGAGACTGGAAACCACAGAAATCTAATCAAAATGATCACAAAAGTCACAGCCTTATATGAAATCATGAGCCATGTTGTGTAGTGTCACCAAAGACAGATGGGTCATGGTGGAGAATTCTGGCAAAACATCATCCACTGGCCTGGCAAAGGGGAATGGCGAACTACTTCAGCATTCTTGCCTTAAAAATCCTGTGAAATGGCTACTGCTGTTAAGCCACTTCAGTCATGTCCGACTCTGTGCGACCCCACAAATGTCAGCCCACCAGGTTCTCCGGTCCCTGGGATTCTCCAGGCAAGAACACTGGAGTGGGTTGCCATTTCCTTCTCCATATGAAATGGCAGTAAGATACAAAACTGAAAGATGAACTCCCAACGTTGGTAGGTGTCCAATATGCCACTGGAGAAAAGTGGAGAAATGGCCCCAGAAAGAATAAATAGGCTGAGCCAAAGCAGAAATGAAGCCCTGTTGTGGATATGTTTGGTGGTGAAAGTATAATCCTATGCTGTACAAATAATAAACTTCTTGAACTATTTTCATATCCATGCTTTCTCAAAGTTATGAGTCTTTCCTTTGTTCTTTGCCTGGAAAATTGCCATATCTTTCTGCATTTGTCTACTATGAAAATGATTGTTCTTATTTATTTATCAGCAACGGAGATTATAGTCTGTGACCATTAGAAGTCCTTATCAGACAGCAATTTTTCATAAAGAAAAATACAGTGTCTATCTTGTTAACTATTACATCCCCTAAAAAAGCACACTGAGTCTCCAAAATGTTTCCATATTTTCTCTAAAAATATTTGCTGAATAAATGGTGAATGAAATAAACATCAGATTTCAAACTTATTTCTAGTGGTTGCTCATTAAAATATATGTGCTGTGTTTAGTTGTTCAGTCATGTTCAACTCTTTGCAACCCCATGGACTGTAACCCACCAGGCTCCTCTGTCCATGGGGATTCTCCAGGCAAGAAACTGGAGTGGGTTGCCATATCTTACTCCAGGGGATCTTCCTGACCCAGGAATTGAACCAAGGTCTCCTGCATTGCAGGTGGATTTTTAACCAGCTGAGCTACAGAGAGTCTCTGTATTAGCATACATAATTTTGAATAAATATCAAGCAAACATATAACTAAATATGTATAGTTATATATAAACATCTGCTTTTTCATTTCCTGTTTTAAATTAATATATTTCCACAAAATTATATTAAATGCATATGACTTTCTTACTCATTCTAATAAAGTGAACATGTCTGTATGAGAGGGTTGTAAGTAATAGAGAAATGTCCATAAATCACCAAACAAAACAGCTGAAGAAAATATATTCAATGAATTTTAGTACTCATAGAATTTTTCAGAGCTGTTCATTTTATTGAGCTTTTATTACTTCTCATGATTATTCAATTAATAATTTTTCAATTTTAAGTAAATGATTGTATCTGTAAAATTGAATGCATTGTTCTCTTTCTTGATAATTCACGTTTATTTTGAAATTAATGTATTTTAACAAGTTCCTTGGTTTTATACCATGTATCAATTAGAATGTTTATTTCATAATTGTTCATCCCTTCATTCTTGAAGCATCATCCTCTCCTGGTTTTCTAAGAAAGAACCCCCAGTTTTGTTCCTAATAACGAGTCATTCTTTCTTATTCTCACTTCAACACTTCCTCTGAATCTGCTCATAATGGTGATCCTGGACTGCTTTAATTATTCTTCATTTATCTCCCCAGACCTAAGATCCTCAATTTTATTTTCAAATTTTGTATCTCAGGATGCTCACATCTTTGTACTGTATTAATTGAATTCTTCTGCTATGTAGCTTCTAGATGGATTTAGGCAATGGGGGAAGATAGTAATTATATTTCATCACCATTCTCTTCCTGGTTTGAGACCACATCTTCAGCAATTGCATTGTGCTTCCATTTCTACATCTTTGACCATCTGTTTCTTCCTCCATAGTTTCAATTCTCACTAAGATAGCAGTAACATTATAAGAGATTAGTGAGATTCTCTGGCAAAGGAAGAAACCTGTAGATAACTAGGGTCAGAAAGGGAGCTATCAGGCGAGCAGAATCTATGGAGCTGAAGTTAGTCCTGTATGTAATGGGTGTCCAATCTCAGAAACCAAATGGGTACTTGCACTTAGATAGTGTTCATGGCCAGCTGGCCAGGAATGGCCAGCCCAGCTCTCATAAAATCAGAACTATCTGCTATATTCTAATTAGCAAAAATAAATTGAGCATAGAGCAAATACTTGTTCTCAAAACACGACTGTTAAAGTCAAAACATATCAGGATGACTCGCCTTTTTAGAAAGATAACATTTAACAAATACATATTCAGCCTTCACAACAAATCTGTAGAATTTATTTGCATTTTCAGTATTGTACATTTTCGAGTGTGTGGGCACGTGTGCTCACTCATATCCAACTCTTCACTACCCCATGGACTGTAACCCACCAGGATCCTCTGTCCACGGGACTTCGTACGCAAACATGTTGGAGCAGGTTGCCATTTCCTACTCCAGGGAATCTTCTCGACCCAAGGATGGAACCCGCGTCTCCCGGAGTTTTAAAAAGTTCAGTAAGCCTGTGGATGCCATTTATTTTTTTTTCAGTTATAATCAAATATTGAAATTAAAACTTCAATTAAGCATGTTATTAAGTTTATAATGGATAAAGTAAAATCTTTAATGCATTTGTTAAATTAATGCAAAGCTGAATCCAATATAACTGTTCCTCTTTAGTGCTTTACATTGATACATATTACTACAGCATATACTTGGTTGAGGGGCTTCCCTGGTGGTTCAGTGGTAAAGAATCTGCCTACAAGGCAGGAGACTTGGGTTCAATACTTGGGTCAGGAAGATGCCCAGGAGAAAGAAATTCCAACCCACTCCAGCATTCTTGCTTGGGAAATCCCATGGACAGAGGAACCTGGAAGGCCATGGTCCACTGGGTTACAAAAGAGTTGGACATGACTTAGCAACAAACAACAACAATCCTTGGTTGAATAGGTTTGTTAACATCTCACATCCTTGGACAATTAATTGAAGAATTTAAATTTATTGAAAATAGAAACTGAAAACTAGTATAACAATTGTATCAGTTGAGTAAATGTTTATTTTTTGACATAAAATGACACTTTTGATTATAGTGGCTATAGATTATGAGCATTAACAATTTTTAAATATGATTTGGACCTTAGCTTTAAGATTATCCATTGTACTATAAATTACAATTTTCATAAAATTATTAAAATGTTTTCCATATTTCTTGCTATTTTTTCTAAAAATTTTCTCTTCTTCCTTAACATACTGCTGACATTCTCTGCCCCTGAGAAAAAATAACCAATGATTCAATACATCTCTTGCTTGAAGGCAGTGCTCAGTCTCTTGCACAAAATGGTACACAAGAATATTTTCTGACTAAAGTCAGGAATGTAGGTATGGTTATCTGTGTTTAGTGAAAATCTACAGGTTTTCACTGTCCTGGTGTGATATGCCATCACAGTTATTATCAATTCATGCTCTGACCTCAGTAACACTTAGCAAGCAGAAGTCTTTTATGACAAATAAAATCATTACTCTTCTTGTAATAGACTAGTCTCCTATGATGGTTTTCTAATTTGTGTGTCCTAGCAAATACTGTGAATTTTATTCTCTGTGTTCTCTGCATCTATCAGCTTTGACTTACATTTTGTGTGTTCCTCAGGATTCAGTATATTGTCAGCATATAACTTAAAGTTAAAAATAAAAAATTGATATTATGAATGAAAGTGAAAGTGTTAGTCACTCAGTCATGTCCAGCTCTTTGCAACTCCATGGACTGTATCTGGCCCACCAGGCTCCTCTGTCTGAGGAATTCTCCAGGCAAGAATACTGGAGTGGGTTGCCATTCCCTTCTCCAGGGGATCTTCCCAGTCCAGGGATCAAACCCAGGTCTCCCACACTGCAGGCAGATTCTTTACCTTCTGAGCCACCAGGGAAGCCTGATATTATGAATAGATAAACATAAAATTATTTGTGTACCTTTCTTAGAAATTTTTGAGGAAGAGAGTAAAGCCAGCTGGGAAAAGACAAAGAAAGAATGGAACATGCCCATGGTTAATGCTATTGTTGAATTCTAGGATTTATATCTATGTTAAGGTAGAGAGGAATGGGATTTTGGAAATAGGATGAAGATATGTTTAAGGTCATTGTGGCTAGAATGAACAGAATTGCCCATGCAAGCCTTTAGCAAACTTAGAAAGATCTATTCTCTTTTTTTCTTCTTTCCTGTTTTACCAAATTTTCGACAAGAAAACAGACAACATTTTGTGACCAAGAATACAGCTGTGGCCACACAGGCCAGCAGGAACCCGATCACGTCCAGAGAGTGGTACTGGTACCAGGTGAGGTTGTGGGCTGCTGGCCGCAGGTGTTTGGCTCCCTTGTGGCGCATGACGAACTCGATCCAGAAGACTGCTCGGTCCAGGGGCTTTACAGGCTGATCATGGTGAATCCTTTTTAACCGCATAGCATTCTCTTTATAACTGGTAGGCAAAAACATAGAAATTATAGAGTTTTGTTTTCATTTAAGGTAAGTAGAGTAATATTTCATAGCTTTTCTCCTAAAGTGTTATCTCTGGGGTCATGACTCTAATTTATACATCACAGTCTGTTAGGAAGACTCCTCCCTTCGGAGCCAAAAGAACTTTACACATACAATTTTCAATATTTAAAAAAAATTAAATGTATCCTATACTTAACAGTATACATGTATACATAAGGTAGAAAGAATAATTAATTAAAAGTCTTACCCTGAAGATTCCTTTCCAAACACATTTCTCTCTCTTTTCCATGGAGGTAAAGACTGAATTCATGTTTGTTATTGCCACATAGTAGTTTTACCCAGTTTGCATTTAGTTTGCATGCTTTTGAACTTTAAATTAGAAACATCATCTTATATGTATTTTTAAGAAGTTGCTTTTCTTGCTCAATATCATATGTGAAATTTGTCAGTATTGATGGTTTATTTATGGTTTCTTTTTTACTACTGTGTAGTATTGCATTAGATATATACACCATGATTTACTCAGCTCCCCTGTTGATAAGACAGTGAATTGTTTCAGTTTCTTTTTCTATTATAGACCATGTTGCTATGTACACTTGTGGCATGTTTAAGCTCACATAGCAAAGGCAAGAGTTTCTCTAGAAGTGGAATTTCACATTGTTCATGACTTGGATGTCACTGTGTGTGATAGTCGCTCAAGCGTGTCTGACTCTGCAAACCCATGGACTGTAGCCCACCAGGCTCCTCTGTCCATGGGATTCTCCAGGCCAAGAATACTGGAGTGAGTTGCCATTTCCTTCTCCAAGGCATCTTCCTTACCCAGGGATCGAACCCAGGTCTCCTGCATTGCAGGCAGATGCTTTACTGTCTAAGCTACTACTAGCTAATGCCAAATCATCTTCCAAGATTGTTACATCAATTTATACTTTTAAGAGAAGTTTCTGAGGATTTTAGTTGTTCCACATTCTGGTCAAAAGTTTTGCCACATTTATTAATTTCTTTATTTTTTCCAATCTGGTAAATATAAAATACTATCTCCTGGTTTTAATTTGACTTTATCTATTTATGCATAAGGTTTTAATGAACAAATGATTATTACCAATTCATATTTCCTTTTCTGCAAAATTATTGTTAAAACTTTTCCTTATTTTTATATTCTATTTTTATTTTTTTCTGATTAGTTTTTAGGAGCAATTTTTAATAATCTATATAGTAATCTTCTCTTCATTATCTGAGTATTAAAAATCTTCCAGTTAAGGAAAAAGGTAAGTATAGGATGCATGTCACATGCTATATGAACAAAAGCCACAGGTATGTTAAAAAAATGTTAATTCTTGCTGTGACATGAACTTTGCTGGTCACATAGCATGTTAAGAGTTATGAGGAGGGGAGTGGAAGAAATACACTCTTTACAGAATGTGGTAAAACACAAACATATAAAAAGATGGAATAAGTCAGTCGTAAATGTATTGCTTCATTTTTCCAAGAAGGGATATTGGCCTTGTGTGAATTATAGTTTCCAAATTACTCCAGATCAAGATTGTAAATAACTCTATACTGAGAGAAAATACCCACTAGGAAGTCCATAAGCAGATTGTCCAGTAAAAGATCTAAGAATTTATGTAATCACCAACATTATTTATTTTGAGAAAGCACTACAAGAATATTTGAAATCTTGGTTTTGTTTTATAATTTGAGCCAATAGCTTCAGCAGTTTGGGAGAGGAAATAATAAAATGGTTCTCATACAATGTTGCAGTCGTTATTTACATTTGAAAATACACTAGTTTAAAATGCATGAAACATTGGACACTTTTGAGTATCACAGGTAAAATAATTTAAGATAATCCTTTAAAAGTGGTAGTACTGTGGGGCAACTAGTACTGCAGTTGCCTGCAGACCACAACCACTGAGTCTGTGAGAGGCAGTGAAGACCCAGTACAGCCAAACACACACACACGCACACAAAATAAAATAAAAGTAGTAGTACTCACAAAGGCTCATTAATGACTGTTCTCAAGGCATTAAACAAATCTGCACTTGTCATTGTGTTTATATTCACTTCCACAGCCGCTCCTTTGGCCTTCATGTGAGCAATGTTGTCAGGCTGATCAGCAAACATTGGGACTCCCACCATAGGCACTCCATGATAGATAGCTTCATAGATTCCATTGGTTCCACCATGAGTGATAAACGCTTTTGCTTTGGGATGACCTAGATTGGAGATTAGATGAGATGTGGGTAAGGATTTCATGATACATGAAACATTAACAGAATTTCAGAAAGACATGGGGTCAAAACTCTTGGATAACTCAATGAAGAAGGCAATATTTTCTATGAAAGTTGAGAATACTCAGCTCAAAAATTGGCAAAATGAATCCCCTTTGCATTGTCTGGAAAGACTTATTGAAGAGGTAATAGCTGAAATGAGATTGAAATTTGAAGAATGATGAGAGTCTTAAATGAAGATCCCCTTTTGAGAATCAGAGGAAGTATCAATCTATAATCGTAATGACCAATTGTTTAATTATATGTGCTTCAAAAGTGCAAGTAAAATGTGGAAATTTAAATAGTTAACTTGTTTATTGAATTTCCTTGTTCTTACCAAGAAGATCATTCTGTGGTATCCAATCATAGAGCCGAGTATTGGCTCCTAACGTGGCAGGCTTCTTTCCTTTGTATCTCCATAAAACCTGTGGAAGACAGTGCTTTAATTGTGAAGTAAAACAAACAAATCAGAAAAATTAAGACATTTTAAGGCTATAGAGTTATTTAGAAATCGTATAGTCCATACCAATTTTTTGATTGTTTCTTTGTTTTGCTATTTGAAAGCAAAGGTGAGGTGTTATATGAAGTAAACAGAAGTTTATAAAAGGTTCAAACAATGAACATGCTCATGTATATCTTTTATAGCAGTTAACTTAAAAATCATAAACAAAAAATAATGTGAAGAAAGTTTTTGAAGAAAAAGTCTGTCCCAAAATCTGAAAACAGCAAATACCACTTGATGTTCTGAAAGGATAAATTAAAATTATAATTTGTAAGTTTTCTTTTTTTAATTTAAGAGAACTAGATCATGTTCTAAGTAAATTTTTTTGATATTCAAGATATATCATATTTTAAATCTATAACCACTATTTTGTTTTCAAATATTTTATTGCTGACATGAATGCATATTACTTTCTTGTGTGTAAGAATATAATTGAATAGAAAGGGTCATGGGCATAATGCTCCTCCATATTTCTTTGTATTTTAACAGGAATTGCTAAATGAGAGAAAAGCACAGCTTGATTTCCTCCCCGATGAGCTCCAGGGCATGACAGTAATATTCCACAGCTTCAGCTATTCCCTGCTTTCTTGGAATCAACTCTGTACCTCAGTTCTCAAATTGGGACAAGTGCAAACATTCTTCACTTTCATCATCTGCTTTAGTTATTTATGATTATGATAAAGGTTGCATGGGAGTTGATCAAGAAGGATTTTATTCTAAGCAAAGTTGTAGCTGTCTGTGCCTGAGAGAGAGGCTGAGGATCCAGTGAAGAATCTGCCAGTGGAAACCAGCAGCTCTTTTCTAAAGAGAGGATGCATGCATGTGCACTAAGTCACTTCTTTCTTGTCAAACTTTATGTGATCCTGTGGACCATAGCCTGTCAGGCTCCTCTGTCCATGGGATTCACCAGACAAGAATACTGGAGTGGGTTGACACGACATCCTCCAGAAGATCTCAACCTAGGAAGCAAACTTGCATCTCTTATGACTCCTGCATTGGCAGGTGGGTTCTTTACCACTAGCACCACCTGAGATGCCCCCAGAGACAGGACATAGGTGATTTTTTTCAGGTAGGCTAAAAGGCTGACTCTTGTTTCCCAGGCTAAGGCTCGAAGGACATCCCAGGCAGGAAAGTGGACATGAATAAGCATCACTAGTGCCATCAGCACTGAGACATTGACTTATTGAGTGGCCTAACATCCCAGGCTGAAGGGGTGAAGGGTGTTCAAGTCCTTCTCCAAATTCTGAGTTCTGGGCATCCTGCTCTTCCCTCAGTGGATGGCAGGTGGCACGAAAACCTGCCCGTTCTTCTGTGCATAGCCGTAAGCTAAGTTGCTTCAGTCGTGTCTGACTCTGTGTGACGCTAAGAACTGTAGCCTGCCAGGCTCCTCCGTCCATGGGATTCCCCAGGCAAGAATATTGGAGTGTGTTGCTGTGTCCTCCTCCAGGAGATCTTCCGGACCTAGGGATTGAACCCTTGTCTGTCTCCTGCATTGGCAGGCACGTGGGTTCTTTACCACTAGCACCACCTGGTAGGAAGCACTTATGGGCAACTTCCCCACATACTTGGACTGCCCTGGTGGCTCAGAGGGTAAAGCGTCTGCCTGCAATGTGGGAGACCCGGGTTCGGGAAGATCCCCTAGAGAAGGAAATGGCAACCCTCTCCAGTATCCTTGCCTGGAGAATCCCATGGATGGAGGAGCCTGGTAGGTTACAGTCCACGGGGTTGCAAAGAGTAGGACACGACTGAGCGACTTCACTTTCACCACATACTTTTCCCCACTTACTTTTCCCCTACTTTCTATGATAGTTGAGAGGAACATATCAATACAAAAGAGGTAGTTTGATAACACTGAGATAAAGTAAAACTAATTGCCAATAGGATGGCCTCATGACAAGTAAATTTACATCGTAATCATGTTTGTTTTAATGCGTTTTAACCCTCATGTTCTTCCTAAGCTAGTCCTGTTTATTTTCTATTACTTCACCCGCAGTCTCACTTCCAAAACCTCTTAATAGACTATTAGTGCAAGCCCTTTTCAAAAAGGTAAAGGCAAATGGTTAAAGGCAATTAGTTTTACTTTAACTCAATGTTTGCAAACTACTTCTTCTGTATTGATATGTTCCTTTCAACTATCACAGGAAGTCTGCTTTTTGGATGATGATTTGTTGTCTTCCTTCCCTCCCTTCCATCCTTCTTTTCTCTCCTTCTTTCTTTTTCTTTCCTTTTTTCTCTTTCTTTCCCTCTCTGTCTTTCTTCCTCTCTCTCTCTCCCTCCTTTTCTCAATTTCTCTCTTTTTTGTTTCTGAGTGGAGATGAGATAGAGGATTTGTTTATACTCTAATATTTAATGAAGTATCTTGCTAGGATGCTAGCCACTTGTTACATAATTATTTTTCTTTTGGGAACTCTGTATGAAAAAGTTCAGATTAAATGTTAACTGGTGGCAACCTCTTTAACAGAACAGTCTAAACTAAAAAATATAGAGTTTTAACAGGGCTAATTAGTACACTTACAGAGTTTTATGTACTTTAACATAAAAATATAAAGAGATGATGCTTCATGAATGAGAGTATATAAAGAGTAGAAATCTAGAATAAACAAAATTAAAGTTAGTTGAATATCATAAAGCAGAAAATATATGCTGACATCAACATTAGGATTTTTAACTGTAGATAGCATTAACTATAGATTAGGATTTTTAACATGTAGGATTTTCACTGTAGAAAATTCAATTTAGAAAGATTAGGCTTCTATTTCTAAACCAGTTACACCTTGAGTTCTACTAAAGCCTAGAAATATGAAGAATATTCTAGAATGTGATGCCCGCTACTCTATGTGTAACCTCTCTTTTCCTGAACCTTGAAGCTGACATATCTGAAAACTAGGGAAGAGACAGTGCTAGTGGTAAGACTTCAAAAAGTATAATTTTATTAGAGGGAGTTGGGAAGGAGAATGAGGAGTTAGTGTTCAATGGGGACGGAGTTTCAGTTTAAGAAGGTGAAACATCCAGGAGATGGATGATGGCAGCAGTTGCTTAACAATGTGCATATACTTAGTGCCACTGAACTGTAGCTAAATGTGGTTAAAATAGTATGTTTTCTATTATGTGAACTTTACCACAATGAAAAAAAGACATTTAAAACAGCAGATGTAAAGCATTTAGCATGGTGCAAGGCATATAGGATATTAAGAAGAGGTGGCAAGAATACGCAGAAGAACTGTACAAAAAAGATCTTCACGACCCAGATAATCACGATGGTGTGATCACTCACCTAGAGCCAGACACCTGGAAATGTGAAGTCAAGCAGGCCTTAGGAAGCATCACTACGAACAAAGCTAGTGGAGGTGATGGAATTCCAGTTGAGCTATTTCAAATCCTAAAAGATGATGCTGTGAAAGTGCTGCACTCAATATGCCAGCAAATTTGGAAAACTCAGCAGTGGCCACAGGAATGGAAAAGGTCAGTTTTCATTCTAATCCCAAAGTAATGCAATGCCAAAGAATGCTCAAACTACCTCACAATTGCACTCATCTCACACACTAGCAAAGTAATGCTCAAAATTCTCCAAGCCAGGCTTCAGCACTACATGAACTATGAACTTCCAGATGTTCAAGCTGGTTTTAGAAAAGGCAGAGGAACCAGAGATCAAATATCCAACATCTGTTGGATTATCAAAAAAGCAAGAGAGTTCCAGAAAAACATCTACTTCTGCTTTATTGACTATACCAAAGCCTTTGACTGTGTGGATCACAAAAAACTCTGAAAAATTCTGAAAGAGATGGGCATACCAGACCACTTGACCTGACTCTTGAGAAATCTGTATGCAGATCAGGAAGCAACAGTTAGAACGGGACATGGAACAACAGACTGGTTCCAAATAGGGAAAGGAGTATGTCAAGGCTATATATTGTCACCCTGCTTATTTAGCTTATATACAGAGTACATCTTGCGAAATGCTGGGCTGGATAAAGCACAGGCTGGAATCAAGATTGCTGGTAGAGATATCAATAACCTCAGATATGCAGATGACAGCACCCTTATGGCAAAAGGCGAAGAAGAACTAAAGAGCCTCTTGATGAAAGTGAAAGAGGAGACTGAAAAAGTTGGCTTAAAACTCAACATTCAGAAAACTAAGATCATAGCATGGCATCTGGTCCCATCTGTTCATGGCAAATAGATGGAATGGAATCAGTGACAGACTTTTATTTCTTTGGGCTCCAAAATCACTGCAGGTGGTGACTATAGCCATGAAATTAGAAGACACTTGCTCCTTGGAAGAAAAGCTATGACCAACCTAGACAGCATATTAAAAAGCAGAGACATTACTTTGCAAGCAAAGGTCTGTCTAGTCAAAGCTATGGTTTTTCCAGTAGTCGTGTATGGATGTGAGAGTTGGACTATAAAGAAAGCTAAGTGCCGAAGAATTGATGCTTTTGAACTGTGGTGATGGAAAAGACTCTTGAAAATCCCATGGACTTGAAGGAGATCCAACCAGTCTATCTTAAAGGAAATCAGCCCTGAATATTCATTTGGAAGGACTGAAGCTAAAGCTGAAACTCCAATACTTTGACTACCTGATGCAAAGAGCTGACTCACTAGAAAAGACCCTGATGCTGGGAAAGAGTGAAGGCAGGAGGAGTAGGGGATGACAGATGATGAGTTGGTTGGATGGCATCACCGACTCAATGGACATTACTTTGAGTAAACTCCAGGAGTTGGTTATGGACAGGGAGGAGGTTTGGCATGCTGCAGACCATGGGGTCACAAGGAGTTGGACATGACTGAGCAACTGAACTGAAATGAAGGCAATAGGATACATGTGCCAACTGACTGAGGTATAGCTGTCTAAATAAATGAGTGCATATCTAGACAGTCAGTTTCATCTGTCTGGGCCACTCTCCCATTAGTATGTATGTTGATCTAGCCTTTTTATTTGGCTGTATGCTCCTTGAAGATGGGACTGTACTTTCTGGGCTTTTTCCCCATTACTAAGGTGACTTGGTTCTCAGATCTTTCAAGGAATCTTTCCTGTCCTTTTTGAAAGACCATGGTTGGGATGGTGTATTCATTTTTTGGAGTAGACAGTATGGCCAGAAGAATAACAGAGCGGTTAAGGCTATGTTCCCTGGAGTCCAACAGACATAATACTACCATATACTAATTGTGTGGTCCTCAGCAGATTATTTCACCCCTATAAGCCTCAGTTTCCTGGGATGTGTACGTGACCAGCGGAAACCACTACCTCATAATGGGCAATCTAATAATTAAATTAAGATTATGTGTATAAAAGATGTGGCAGAATATCTGGCATTTAATAAATGCTGGTAAATGTTAACTGATATGGAAAAATTACTAGAATCTTATCATTTCATCTCTATGTCATTGAAAATAAATGACTTCATGAAAAGATATATTTTTATAGTAATGTGAAGGTTCAGTAAGAAAGTGGTTAAGTGTATCCCAAATACATTTGAATCTTTCGAGACATTTTTCCTTAAAGGTGGTGTCAGTTTTGTTCAAGGAAGGATGAGTTACAACTTTTATCTGGAAAGAATACTAATAGCCATCCACTCTCTACAACTGCAAAGTGACTCTGCTCACCAGGATTGGAGTTTATACTAACCTTTTGTGGAATCTGGGCAAGAGCTGAGGCAATACGATTGGCTTTTTCTTCTGTGAGATTTTTGACCATTGACCCCAGAGAAAATACCACAATACCATCTTCACCTGAACTTTGAACAAATTCTTCCATTTCCTGCAGGGATAAGATTATATTTTATTGCATTATTAATTCAACGGGCATGAGTTTGGGCAAACTCTGGGAGACAGTGAAGGACAGAGAAGCTGCAATCCATGGGATTGCAGAGTCAGATGTGACCGAACAACTGAACACATCAACAAAATTATATTTATTACATAAGTGCCAATTACTGGGGGGAAAAGGCTCTCTTACACTTCTAAATTAGAAGATTCAAGAGACGTGTGAGGGACATTGTTAGACTGATTCTGTCTTCTGCCATATAGAACCATCTAGCCTTGTTAGAAGGAAATGTATTTCTGAAATGATGGGCTAAATATACAATGGGTAATTACACAATAAAAACATGAAAACATGAAACCAAACCATTATACAAAATGAATAGGTGATAAAAGGCAGATGTTCTCATGGTGCATGGAACTATTACTCCCAAAGTTTAATTTTATGAGCCAACAGACCTGTCTGCAAACTTGTAAAAATATTCTTTGGAAGAAAGCCCAAAGAAGGATTCTGAATTAGGCTTTTAAAAATTTTAGCGTCCCAGTTTACAGTCAATACCTTTTGAATAACTTTATCTAGCTTCCTGTTAGGTATTTAGGATATTTTCCTCATGTTTATTATCTCCCTGTTTAATAGGCTAAAAGGATTTTAAACAATTGCTATACATAGTAATGTATTTGAAAAAAAGATAATGTAGTAAAAACCAGTTACAATCATCATAACACTTATGAGACAGTGCTTCTGTCTCACAAGAGTGTGACACTAACTACGTGCCCAAAATGTGAGTATTAGAACAGAAGTAAATTATACATTTCTCTGCAAATAAACTTCTCTTGATGATCACTTGCATGTTAAGTTGCTCCAGTCATGTCCAACTCTTTGGAAATTCATGGACTGGAGCCCATCATGGTGCCATTTCATCCTCCAGGGAAACTTCCTGATCTGGGGATCAAACTCACATATCTTACCCAGTCTCCTGCATTGTCAGGTGGGTACTTTACCTCTCGCGCCACATGGGAAGTTGTGTAAATTGGGGACAGCAAAGTCTGGGATTGAGGTCTTCCTCATTATCTATGTGAATGTCACCTTCTAGAGATGTGTCATCTCTTTGTAACTATCTGTGGTTATCCTGCAATCACTGGTGTTTCTCAGTTAAAGGCTAGTAAAATTATCAAGGAAAGGACAATGCCATAAACAAAAGCAGGTCACTCTTTTTAGCTCAGTTAAAGTTAAGAGAATATCTGATGTCCTAGGAATTGGTGTTTTATCTTTATGATTCATCTCCCTACATAGACAGTGATTGAATATAAAAAAAAAATCACACACACACACACACAGACATAGACACACATACCTGTGTATAAGAATTATACACTTATCTGTTTGATTTGGTTTCTTAGTTTAATTTCACTGCTTTTCTATTTTGTGTGTCCAGTGATTGGCATAATTCTTTCATAAGAAAGATAAGACATGATTGGAATTCATGTTGCTGAAATATCATATTAATAACTGGGTTTTGGAATGGAATACATTTCCCCTCTTATGAAACATGTCTGAGCTATTTTTCTGAAATCATCTGCATGAGAAAAGTGGGAGTGGAATGATAAGCATAATGATGTGGCAAGTGAGCCATGGAATATGTCATGCATCCTTCTGTACCTTTATTTATTTTAGATATTGGTTTCTTATCTCCAGTAATAACACTCAGTGGAGTTTGTCTTTAGCTATAACCTATTGGCATGAAATGCATATTCACAATCCGGAAGTGAAATTTTAAACTTCAATATCCATCTTCCCCTAAAGCGAAATCAAGAACTTTTATGGAAACATCATTTAACCTGCCCTCTTGTACAAAGAGTATGCTCATTTACCTATAACACAAACAAATAAATATCTGTCTCTTCACTGCCTGTTGATGAATATAGTTAAGTAAAATATTCTTACTTTGTTTACCTACTATTCTCTTTTTATGCTTCTAAATATTGCTTTCTTCTGATATTTCTGGCAGTCCTTATTTATTCTTGGTAACATTGGAATATGGGTGCATGATTTTCTTTTTTACTCCAAAAAAATTCCTGATATCACAGTCATAAAGAGCCAATTCAGCATTTTGGTTTCTCAAGTTATGATTTCTAATTTACATTAATGACTCCCAAGTTTATTTCCAGTGCTCTCAGCTGAGACTGAAATCTTGTACTAACCAGATGATTTTTAGAAATCTTCACCTGAAAATCCCTTTGCCTTCTTAAAGTGAATTTGAAATTGAATGTATCATTGTCATCTCAAAAAAGTTTTTTCAAGCAATTCTTTCCTGGCTCAGTAAAGTCTACTGCTTTCCAAGAAGCCCTGTCTAGTTCCATGTCTTCCATCAACACTTAGCTTTTATGAAAGCATCTTTATAACTCAAATGACCATAGTAAATGTCCCTATTTATAACTGCATCATGCTTCTCAGGAAGACAGCAGCAGTCTCCTTAATAATAGCCAAGGTTCTAGCTTCCTGTTTTTCAATCCAATGTCTACACTATGGACGCACTGATATTTTTAACATGCCACTTGGAAGATTTCATCCTTCTGATTAACTATTCAAGTCAAAAAAGGTAACATTATTCATAAGAGACTTCTCCTATGATTTTGAAAATAGATTTGAAGTAGAAAACTAAAGCAATTCAGCAGCAAGCATATCTCTGTCATAGATACTGCAAGCTTTAAAAGAAAATTAGGATATTATATAAAGTACGAAAGAGCTTTCCACTGTATTAGACCTACCTTAGGTAATGGTTTGGCTGGCTTACAATGCAGTCCACCTACAAACTCAAAATTTGGTAAATATGGACGAGGAAATTCAAAATCCCAGTATGTCCTGATGAGCCAAATCTCTGCTTTCCCCATGGTCTCACATAGCGTAGTGGGTCTTCCTGGAGAAAATGAAGGAAGTATACTTGAACTTATTAGCATACATATTTGCTGGGAAAAAATTGCACCACTGATTTTCTGATGTTCTATGATGGGACTCTTGATTACTTATCACATTTAGATGTTAAAAGGAAGTGAAATTTAAAGTATTAATGAAAGGAAGAAAAGAAAGAAGATAGAAAGGTAGAGAGGAAGGATGGGAAGTGGGAGGGAGGGAGAAAGAATGTTTAGGTAGGAAAAGAACAGTAGTATGTAAAATAAAACAAACTCAATAAAATCAAATAAAAATATAATTCTTTGACAAAAATAAGTTCTTTCAGGAAATAAATTCAATCAAAAATTTTAACCACAACTCCAAGTACTGATGGATTCCATACTCATGGTTTCTCTCCAATTAAATGGCCCATGGCAGATTGCTACTGCTGCTGCTGCTAAGTCACTTCAGTCGTGTCCAACTCTGTGTGACCCCATAGAGAGCAGCCCACCAGGCTCCCCCATCCCTGGGATTTTCCAGGCAAGAGTACTGGAGTGGGATGCCATTGCCTTATCCGCATGGCAGATTAGCTGCATCCTATTAACACAAAGGACCTCCCTGACGACTCAACAGTAAAGAATCCACTGGCAATAGTAGAGATGTGGGTTTGATCCCTGAGTCTGGAAGATCCCCTGGAGAAGGAAATGGCAACCCATTGCAATATTCTTGCCTGGGAAATCCCACGGACAGAGAAGTCTGGGAGGCTACAGTCCATGGGGTCACAAGAGTCAGACATGACTTAGCAACTAAACCACCATAAACACCAAATCAGCTCTCAGGGGTTTTCTAATTTCCAATCAGGACCATCTTTCTACCTTTCCGCTTGTTACAGTTTCGGGTTCACTCACATTGTTGAAGAATCCCACCAGTATCAATTTACCTTGTCTTGCTGAGTCAAATCTCATCCCTTCATTGATTTGCTATTATTTTCTCCATAGGAAATCCCTGAGTAACTTAAACCTAATATAACCCCCTTTGGAATGCAGATTACACATGCATGGATTACTAGTATCACACATTTGAGTGTCACCTTGAAATAATGTTTTATGAAAAGGATATATTCTATATATTCATTTTAGGAGATTTGTAAATAACAAATATTTGCAAATTACTCAATCATTTGTATACACAAAAAATATGTGTTGCATCTAAGTAAAGAAAAATTAAGACGAGAATGTTCCTTTCTTAAAGATTCTATTCAGAAATGGTGCTTTTATGTACTCCCGGTTGAATATCCTTTTTGAAGAATTGTTACTATTTTGTAGTATTTGGATATATGTCAGAAGTTTTATGTGCATGTGTGTGCTCACTTGCTCAGCTGAAGTTATATAGGCAATGATTAACTTGATAATAAAAAAGCCATTTCCAAGGAAACTTAGCTTGAAATTGCCAAAGACTGGATGAGAACAAAACACCACAGTTTCCCCACAAACATGCTTTCGTTTTTTAGATGTGTTGCTCCATGTGTGTGACATCCTGTCTTGATTACTATGTCCTTAGGAGAAATCATAGTGCAAAATATTTTTGAAAGACATAGCTTAAAGTATTTTAGTACACTAAAGTATACTTAGTACTTTAGTAAAGTACTTAGCAAAGTACTTTAGTACTTAGTAAAAATACTTAGTACTTTAGTATACTTAGTATACTAAAATTCTTTATTTGAAGCAGTTATACACGGTATGAAATACATATCAACACAAGAACAAAATTGTGCTAAAGTATGAAAAAGTTGTAAATTTCTTAAGACATTCTAAATGTTAGGCTGAGGACCTGTAAAACAAAAATGTGGAATTAAAGTTTACCATCTTTTTTTTGTTGTTGTTGTTGGAGGTTTAATTTATTACTGTTTGACATCCAGTGACACTGACATACCCTCGCCAGGCCTGTGGACCTCCGGCCCTGGCGAGTCTGACCTGTCCAATAAAATAGTTTACCATCAATCTTTTTTTCTGTTATTACTTTGTTACACAAAATGAGTTATAAACACAATATAAAACTTACAAATAATTGATCAATGGCCACTAAATTTGAATTACCATGGAAATATTGTTGCTGTTTGAATCTATTATTTTAATCCTTCATGATGAGTCTACTGAGATACCTTTTAGTTTCAAAGAATTCTTAGAGGGAGCCTGAATGTATGACAAAATGCTACATTGTAGATGAGACAGATTGAGGTATTCAGCAGAGGACAGGTACCAATCTCTCAGTGATAACTCATGCAAGCTATAGATATTAATCCAGAGACAACCTTACTAGGCTTCCTAGACGATTTATTTCTTTTAAAGACATGCTAGAAAACTAACATGTATGATTTCTGTATCACAGTCTATGAATTAATACTTTATTTTTTAGAGCAATTTTGGATGATAGCAAAATTGAGGGAAAAGTGGAGATATTTCCCACATATGCTTGTCTTCACATATGCATAGACTATCCCATTATCAACATCTCCAACGGAATGGTACATTTGTTACAGTTGATGAATTCACACTGAAACATTATAATCACCAAAGTTCATGGTTTACATAATAATTAACACTGAGTATAGATTGGGTGATCTTAGACAAATAATAAAGACATGTATCAATCAATATGGTATCATACAGAGTATTTTCACTGTTCCCAAATTCTTTTGTGCTCTGCGTATTAATCCCTCACTTTCATCCCACACCCTGGAAACCATTGATCTTTTTGTTGTCTCCATAGTTTTGCCTTTACAGAATGTCAGTACATAGACTTGTCAGCCTGGAATTTTTCCTTAATAATATGCACAAAGGTGCTCCCATGGTTTGATGCTTTTCTGGGACTTGATAACTCATTTTTTAGAGCTGAATAATATTCCTTCTTTAGATCTGCCACAGTTTATTCATTCACTACTTGGTTTCTTCCAAGTTTGGGAAGTTCAGAATGAAATTTCTATAAATATCTGTAAACACGCACATTTTGTGTAAACATAAGTTCTCAATTCCTTTGAGTAAATACCAAGATGTGTGATAGTATGTAAGAATTTATTTACTTTTTTAAGAAACCACCAAGTGTTTCCCAAGTGACTGCACCATTTTATATCCCACTAGCAATAAGAAGAGATTCATAAAATATGCAGATTAGAATTATAAAGTCTTGCTTAAACCCTTTATGGAAAATAAATAGAGCTATTATGTTCATTGATAGGAAAATCAAAATTCACAAAGTTGTTCATTCTCTCCAAATTTATCTACAGATTCCTTGCTCATGCTTGCGTGCTCAGTCACTTCAGTCATGAAGTGAATCTATGGACTATAGCCAGCCAGGCCCTTTTGTCCATGGAATTCTCCAGGCAAGAATACTGGAGTGAGTTGCCATGCCCTCCTCCAAGGGATCTTCCCAACTCAGAGATAGAACCCCTGTCTCCTGCATCTCTTGCATTTCAGAAGAATTCTTTACCCACTGATTCATTGTGATTCCTTGTATTTCTCACTAAATCTCAAAATCCCAAGATTCATGAAACTTTTTTTTTTAGAATTTCATATTTAATTTTAGAAATCTATTTAGAAGAGCAAAGGGCTAAGAATAATCAAGGTATCCCAGAAGAGATACTAGGAGATAGGCTGTTATCCTTCCAGATATTTTGAACAGGATGAACAAATAAGATATCCATCATATACCCCCATCCGCCCCTAAAAATGATTTGGCATTTATTCACAGACATATGTGTCTTGTGGGAGCCCTGAGATTCAGACAGGAGATTGTGAAATCTGGGTACAGTCCAAGACAGACAATGACCTTTTGAGAGGTGAGGCTTGCAACCAGATGACTGATCCAGAGAGTGGGTTCCAGGCTGCAGACATGGCAAAAAGTTCTGTACCGCTGAGAACTCAGTGGTAGTATGTTTCTCTCTGGCTCTGTTACTACCATCATATGCCAAGGAAACCAAGAGGAGCCATGCCCACTCCATGTTGAATAATAAACATCCAGACTTCTGTCCCAGCTATAGACCTTGAAGTGGCCCACAACTGGCTCAAACCCTGTGGGATCCCCAGAGGCAAGTTGGACAAACTTGGTCAGACTGTGGATTCTGAGAAGGCCCTGTAACTGGGCTGTTTCCTGTCCAAGCCACAGTCCTCAAGTAACCCAGCTGGCAGAGCAACCAGGCAGGAAGCACTCTTGTCTGCACCTCAGGGTCCTGAAAGTTTCCTGTACTGAACTCCAGTCTCCTCATGACCAGTCTGCTAACAGCCCTGAGGGTTCAGAGACACAGAGGGAATCACTCTAATCTGCAACCTAGAGATTCTGTAAAGATTCCAGACTTGGTTTCAGCCCCTTCTAGCCACCATCTGAGAGCTGTCACAGTAACATGCAGACTAAGCAATAGACACTCAAAAGCGGTGTCTCCAGAGATGCTGAAGAGTTCCCTACTTAGCTGCAACCCTATCACAGCTACAGTCCATTTGCAGACCTGCTGCTCAGGCATCCAGTAGGAGACACTTCTGTCTGTGTTCTCAGAGGTCCTGAAAGGGCCCTACACTCAGTTCCAGCCCCTTCTAGCTACAGTTCATAAGTCTACTTTTGGATGGGTGGATAGAGAGAATGTAGTATGTACATACAATGGAGTATTACTCAGCAATGAAAAAGAGTTAAATGTTGCCATTTGTGACAAAATGAATGAAACTTATGCTAAGTGAAATGTCAGATAGAGAAAAAAATAATGTATGATGTCACTGAAATGTGGAGTCTTTTTTTTTTTTGAAATGTGGAGTCTTAAAAAAAAAAGCCACCTCAAAGAAGAAAGGAGATTGGTGGTTTTCAAAAACAGGTAGGGATGAGGGAATTTAGGGAGATGTTGATCAGAGGGTACAAACTTTCAGTTATGAGGTGAATAAGTTCTGGGGATCTAATATTCAGTATGGTGACTAATAGTATGGTTAACAATACAATATTATATACTCAAAAGTTCCTAAGAGAGTAGATATTAAATGTTCTTACCAC